TAAGTTCTCTTATATCTCTTCCCGCGGGTTCCTTTCTTGTTGTCTGACCTCTACACACCTTACTTCCACTTAAATATACTTATAAAAAATTATAAAACTAAATTTATAAAATTTATAAAAATTAGAATCTAAGATGTCCATATGAGAAAGAACATAGGGCTCCTGCTTATAAGCCTAGGTTATCTCACTTAATATGTATATTTTGTCAGTTTTCTGAATTTTCTTCACATTTTGTAACTTCAGTTTTCTTTATATCTGAATAAAATCCCACCTTATGCAGAAACCACATTTTCACCTCCATCCACCACTTAGTAGACAGTGTAATGGTGTCTCCACTGTCAAGTTGATGAGGCCTAGCAATCCCTGGGGAATGCAGTTCTGAGCATGTCCTGGGAGACTACCTTGATCACATTCACTGAGATGGAAAGAGGTGCCCACTGTAGGTGGCACCATTTCCTAGGCTGGAATCCTAATCCACAGGGAAGGAGAAAGTGCTCTGAGCACCAGCATCCCTGCTCTCTTCTCTCTGACTGGATGCAGTGTGAGCAGCAGCTTCCAGCACCAGTGGCCTCACCAGTCTCTCCGGATATAACGTAGCCTTGAACTCTTGAGCCGAAATCAGCTCTTTCTCCCTGAAGTTCTGTCATCAGGGTATTTCAATACAGCCAAGGAAAAGTAAAGACAACTCAGCTGATTCCACTTCCTGGCTATTAGGAATAGATCTGCCGTAAACATGGATGTGGAGGTAGCTATTATTTAGAGTATGGTCTACATTGCCACAGAAAATACTTCCTGCTCTGTGGCAGAAAGGCCAACCCCAATTAGTGTGGACTCCTTGCTAAAGATAATAGAAAGTAGCTGGATAGTGCAGACAATGAGTGCAATTCACTTTGGCCTTCAAAATGCCTTTTTCTGAATGAAGTCCTTACTCAGTTAACTGAGATTCTTTCTAAAAGTAACCAAGTGGTCATGTGGTTGCACGTGATTGCAGTAACTACTCATGGACTTGAACTCTCAAGGAAGTAGGGGAGAGAAGGACCCGATGATATTGTTAATGAAAATATATCACACCAAAAAAAAAAAAACCTTCATGAACCTGTTATTTGTTTGTTTATTTTTATTTTTCAAGACAGGGTTTCTCTGTAGTTTTGGAGCCTGCCTGGAGCTCACTTTATAGAACAGGCTGTCCTCAAACTCTCAGAGATCCACCTGCCTGTCCCTTGAGTGGTGGGACTAAATGTGGGTGCCATCACCACACAGCTGTGATAGAACTTTTATATTTAAGAGACTGAGTTGGGCATTGACAAGAGGTTGCTCTGGGAATAAGCTGTCTGAAATTGTGATTAAGGAAGAATTCCAAGTGGGAACAATAGCAGAGTCAACAGCTATGAAGAAGGAGGGAGCACTGAATTGATGAGAAGAGCCAAGCCTTAGGCTGAGTAGTGTTAGCACCTCTGACCAGCTACAAGGGTGGCTGAGGCCAAAGAATCACGGGTGCAAGGCCAACCTGTTCTACAAAGCGTTTCAAGCCGGGTCTGGTAATTTACCTAGACTTTGTCTCAAAATAAAAAAAAAAAAACTTTGAAAAAAGAACTGAGAAGATTGTCCAGCCGGGAAATGAAAACAAACAGAAGCCTGCTCTTCCAAAGGTCCTGAGTTCAATTCCCAGCAACCACATGGTGGCTCACAACCATCTGTAATGAGGTCTAGTGCCCTCTTCTGGTCTGCAGGCGTACATACAGACAGAATATTGTATACATAATAAATAAATAAATAAATATTTTTAAAAAAGAAAGAAAACAAACAGAGCTGGCAAAGATGGAAACTGGGAAAATACATTAATGGTAGCGGCAAAGGGCTTGGAGGTACGGCGACATGCTCAGCCAGCTGCCTAGAACGCAAAAGGATGGGACTTTAATCCCTAATAGTGAATCAAAGAAGGAAAGGGAGAAGAAAAGGAAGAAGACAGCGAGGAGAAGAAGGAAGAAAGAAGAAGGTAGGGGAGACATTGCATGTTAATTCAGAAGGAACGCAAAGTACCAGTGAGCATCTCACAGGAGGTTATCAAACAGAAATGATGTGTCTTTGGTTTAAATTAAAATACATGTCTGCATCATATTCCCACAATAACTAAACTAGAAATTAAACACTAGGTTTTTCGGGGGTTGAAACGTGTAGTTTTCAGTACTGCTACAGTTGGAGATGGAGATACACTGTGGCTGTAAAACACTCACCTAGGCTGCCATAAACACTGTGTCCAAAACCCAGCACAACAGAAACCGGATTGGGCAGGGCATCCCAATGCTCAGGTCACTGTGGTGGGAGAGACGGGAGGATCATAATTCAAGGTCATCCTCCTCCACATACCACCTTGGATCATGGTTAAATTATGTTTGCGAAGAAATAATTAATGAGTGATAGAATGTAGAACATATATTTGAATACTAAATTTTTACTTTTAGTGCTTTGAAATTTTTTCTGAAGTATTAGAGCCTGAACTATTGCTAGCCTTTGTAAACCAGGCTGGCCTTGAACTCACAGATCTACCTGTCTCTGTCTCTTGGGTGCTGGGATTAAATTCATGTACCATCATTGACACCTTAATATTGTTTCAATATTTAATGCTCTCAATGATACCTTCTGCTTTCTTTCTTCTGATTGTTGTTTTAAGAACAGTCTTTCTATGGAGTCATGGAACTCACTATGTAGGAAAGACCTATCTCAAACCAACAGAAACACTCTTGTCTCTAAAAAAATTAATGCGGTGTACCACAACAGCAAGCTCACTCCCTACCTCCCTTTCTCTGTCTGTCTGTCTGTCTGTCTCTATCTGTCTTCTCTCTCTCTCTCTCTCTCTCTCTCTCTCTCTTTCTCTCTCGTCTATCTCATTATTGTTTGTTTATTTGATAAGATATGTTTCTCTGTGTAGCCCTAGCTGTTCTGAAAATATGTAGTACAAGGGAAACCTTATACTCAGAGATTCGCCTGCCTATGCCCCCTTAGAAATGGGATTAAAAGTATTAGGTGCCACCACTTTAAGACTTTTTATGAGGGGAGAGGGTTAAATTTATTTATCTCTCCAACTCTCTTTATATTTCCTTTTCTTTCCCTTGTCCTTTTTTTTTTCTTTTTACAGGGGCTCATTCCAGTGGGACTGACCTCTAGGCTCACATTCCTATTTCTACCACCCTGGGGGGCAGGTTCTAGGTGACCATCCAACACATTGGGCCTATCTTTAACAATTTTATGACTGCCCTTAATCTTAAGGAAATCTTTACCTGAATGTTTCACGTTAGTATTTTAAAGAGCCTTTCCACAGAGATAAAGAAACACCTGTGCAGTTCACAAACAACGGGGCGACACATGTGTTCCAAGAGATGCTTAAGACACATGCACAAAGTCACCTGTTCCATCCACATCAGGCTATAACTCGAGTGTGGTGGCACCATCGTGAAACTCAAGCATTCAGTAAATTTTTCTCCGTCATATATTCTGTTTTTTAATAAAAAAGAATATGTTTATTTTTATCTTACTGTGTGTGGATGTTTTGCCTGCATGTTTGTCTGTACACCATCTACTTGCATGTTGCCACTGTAAGACAGACAAGGTTTCAGATTCCCTGGAACTGGAATTAAACATGACAGTTAGCGGCCATTTCGGTGCATGGAACTGAACCCAGATTTTCAGGAAGAATAGCACATGCTCTTAACCACTGAGCCAGCATTCTAACCCATGCTTGATGGGTTTTGTTCTTATTTTCTTTTGTTATTTTGCTTTTTGGCTTTATTGATTAATGTATTTTGGCTTGGATTGATTTTGAGGCAGGTTTCTCCAGACAGGGTTTCTCTGTGTAGCAGAACTGGTTGGCTTAGAATTCCCTTTTGAGACCAGGCAGGCATCAAACTCACTGAGATCCACCTGTCTCTGCCTCCCAAGTGCTGGGATTAAAAGGCTGTGCCACCACCAGCCGGCTGCTTGTTTAGTTTTGAAAATGGTGTCCCAATATGTGACCCAGGCTGGACTCAAACTTAAGATTCTCCCTCCCATGATGCTGAAATCACATTCTATCAACCTCAGGACTCACGGACACAGTGATTTTTTTCTCCGAAAAATAAAAACAAAATGAATAATTTGATAAGCACTGAAGTTAAGAAAACTGAATATTGGGGAAGTACAGGAAGCATTCTTTTCAGTGATTATTTTTTTAAGGGGGAAGAGAAAGGACCTCTCTTTAGATCTAGATATCCTAGAGCTTTGTAGACCAGACTGGTAAATTATAGGTAGTCTTTCAAATTTCGGCGAAAACAGAATTGTAAAGATCAGCCACATTAAAGTCCTATTCCATATCCGTTAAAAAAAAAAAAAAAGCCAGCCAACCGCTGGTGGCAGACCTCTTTAATCCTAGCACTCCAGAAGCAGAGGTAGGCTGTTCTCTGTGAGTTCGTAGCCAGCCTGGTCTACAACAGCTAGCTCCAGGATGGGCTCCAAAGCTACAGACAAAACCAACCTCGAAAAACCAAAAACATTAAAAATAAAAACCAAGCAGTGTTGGTACATGCCTTTAATCTCAGCACTCGGGAGGTAGAGGAAGGCAGTCTTAGGCCAGCATGGTCTACTGAGAGAGTTTCAGCTTAGCTACGACTGTAACAGAGAAAACCTGTCTCGAAAAACAAAAAAATAAAAAATAAAAGACACGAAAGATATTCTGGTTGCTCAATTCCAAAAGGATTTCTCAGTACAGCCTAGGCTACTGGAAAGCCCAGCCCACACTCCTGGGCGGAGCCTCTGAATTGGAGGCTCGAGGGGCGGAGCCTAGCGTGACTTTTCACGACTTGACTTTCCGGTCCAACACTGGGGATTTAATTGACGTCCTGGGTGTATCCGGTGTGACGTGAATAAAGCTCAGGACTCCAGGGCCAGTGACTGCAGTTGCTTCGCCAGCACCAGCGCCACTGCCCTCGCTACACCCCGTGTCTCCACAGCCCAACAGAGCCGTCCACATGCTGAACATGCAGCCTAGCAGCTCTGACACCGACCCCGCGCCCAGCTGGACACCACAGCCACAAGGACCCAGCCCTGCCAAGCGACGCCGCCTCCACGAGCCCCAGGGGCCACTCGGCCTGGAAGAGCCCCCCGAGTCCACCAGCGATGTATCGACCTCTATGGTGATCCTGGTCGCTGACTGTGCCGTGCAGCTACAGCTGGATTTCGTCAAACTGCTGCTGGAGCCGGATGCCACCTCGGTCCTGGAAGTGGAGCTCCCTGAAAACACCATCATCCTGGTGCCCGAGGGCCTCCAGGCTTCTCACCATCTTGGACAGCCTGGGATCTTCTCCGCCAGCCCGCAGGGGGGCGCTGTCCTGGAAATGCCAGTGGGCCACCTGCTAGTCCTCCAGCCGGGATCCTCCTGTCAGTTCATTCTAGAAAGTTCCTACCAAGAGGAATCCTATGATGAGGATGAAGACTCTGGCTCCCTGTCACCCTGGATGGATCCTCCATCTGGTCAGGCAAGTGAGCACTTTTCCTCCACCAACAGGATGCCCAGTCCTTGGCCTCAGGGCCATATCCCAGAACCATATCCTTCAGGACATTCCCCTAGTGCAGAGCCATATTCTCCAAGGTCTGTCTGGGACCAGGACAGTTACCTGCTGGGTCCCTTTCCCAGCTCACCCCTGCTGCCTCTGCCTCCATCTCCTCCTGGAAGTCCCAAAGAGCAGAGCCCTCCATCCTCTCCGAGGTCTCCATGCAAGGCCAGGAAGAGACTGTTCTGTGAATAAACTGTCCTGCATAAATCCCGATGCCCCTCAAATGAGAGACTGGCTTCCCAACAGCATCGTGAGAGCACAGCCTACAAGCTTAGAAGGGCACTCTTGTTTCTGAATTGGGCAGAATGCAGAATATTGCATTGTTGGTTGGCTAGAATGTCTGGAAGGAAGATCATCGCCACCACATCACGTGCTGGTTGGCCCCTGCATTTGCTCTTTGACTTGACTGCTTACATCGACTTTTTCTATACAGAAGTCAGCCTCGGGCAGCTCCAGCAGTGCAGACCTGGTCTGCCTGCCTCTGCCGTTTGTGCTGAGATTAAAGGCGTGTGTGCCACCCCTACCCAGCTCATGTTATTTTTTTTAAACAAATGGGGCTTTTGTTTGTTTTGGGGGGTTGTTTGGGAGTTATTTTGATTTTGTTTTAGGAGGAGTTTTTTTACCTTTCCTTTCAACAAGAAATAAGTCTTTGGATCTCATCATGTGTATTTTTAATATAGTTCTCCAGTTCTGGGGGTCATAATTCTAATGTTACAATAATTTGTTATAAGACTATATTGTTACAATAATTAGATCTCAAATTTATGTTTTTCATTGTAACTTGAGTATAGATATGTCTTCTGTTTATTTGATATCCAACAAAATTTATTAATTTCTTTAGTAATCTTATGTATCTACATTTGGGGGTTTGATAAAAACAATATCTCTTCTGAGAAATTGGCGGCCTTTGATATATCTAAAACATTTATTTTTCCTTAACATTTACTAGCAAATAGTTACGTTCAATTGAAGTGTATTTTTAAGGACTTTCCTTTCATACAAAATGCAATTACTTCAATTTTATAATAGAATACTAGCTTTTCTGTAAATAGTTCTTAGATAGTCTTTGTCCTGCTGAAGATGTTACTTTATGATGTTTCTGATCATAAGAAATTTAGATTCTTCTGTTTTTGTTTTGGTTAAGTACTAAGACTTTGTCAAAATGTTGCATTTAATAATTTAATAAAATTTCATTTTAAAAACATGAGTATTAGAGTATATTCTAGTATGAGCTATGTTGAGCCTTGAGTCTTTTTCAAACACTCAGCAACACCGTAAGAGAACATGTGAGACCGGGATTGGGGCTCAGGAGATTGTAAAACTTAGGTCCTCTTTGTGATACTTGAGCAGAGATGGTTAGAAGCAGAATTGATTGACGAGTTGCCTTATGGTGTCACATGGTAACATTTAAGAAGTTTTTGTTTTGAGCATGGTATTCCATGGTGTCTTTTCCACGACGACTAAGGAAGGCCCTCTGCACCCCTGCTAGTCCATAGGATATCCTTCTGATTGTCATTATACTCTGGGATTTTTTTTGCTTTGGGAGGTTAGAGAGTGTTTGATTCGCTGATTGGTAGGGTTGGGTTTTTTGAGACAGGGTCTCCCTACATAGTCGTAACTGTCCTGAAACTCACCATGTAGGGAGAACAGCCTAGCCTGAAACCACAGAGATCATCTGCCTCTGCCTCTCTAGTGTTGAGATAAGAGGCATATACCCACAAGTCTGACTTGTTTGTATATTTTTGTGCTGGTATTTGCTGTATCTTTCTTTTTTTTATTTTTTTAAATATTTATTTGTTTATTTATTATGTATACAGTATTCGGTCTGCATGCTAGAAGAGGGATCCTGATTGAATTACAGATGGTTGTGAGCCACCATATGGTTGCTGGGAGTTGAACTCAGGACCTCTGGATGAGCAGCCCGTGCTCTTAACCTCTGAGCCATCTCTCCAGCCCCTGCTTATCTTTCTTTTGTTTATATTTTGGGTTTTTTGAGTATGGCCTACATTGCCACAGAAAATACTTTCAGCTCTCTAACATGAGAGCCACTCTTAAATAGTCAAGACTCCTTCTAAAGAGAATAGAAAGTAGCTGGATAGTGTAGACAATGAGTGCAAATCTTTTTCTGCAGTCCAAATGCCTTTTTCTGAATGAAGTCCTCACTCAAATTAACTGAGATTCTTTCTACAAAAAACCAAGTGGCCATGTGGATGCATGTGATTGCAATGACTACTCACCCTCAAGGAAGAGGGTGGGGGCCCAATGATATTGTTAGTGAAATATATTCCAGAAACACAGGCTTCGTAAAACCTGTTATTGATTGTTTGCTTTTCATTTTCATGACAGGGTTTCTCTGTAGTTTTGGAGCCTGCCTGGAGCTCACTCTATAGAACAGGCTGTCTTTAAACTTTCAGAGATTGGCCTCTCTGTCTTCTGAGTGGTGGGACTAAATGTGGGTGCCACCACCGCCCAGCTGTGATAGAACTTTTATATTTAAGAGACTGAGTTGGGCATTTAGAAGAGGGTGCTCTGAGAATAAGCTGTCTGAAATTGTGATTAAGGAAGAATTCCAAGTAGGGACAATAACAGAGTCAACAGCTATGAAGTAGGAGGGAGCACTGAATTGATGAGAGGAGCCAAGCCTTGGGCTGAGTCCTGTGAGCACCTCTGACCAGCTACGAGGAAGGCTGAGGCCAAAGAATCATGGGTGAAAGGCCAACCTGTTATACAGAGCAATTTCAAGCCAGGTCTGGTAATTTACCTAGACCTTGTCTCAAAATAAAAAATAAAAAAACTTTGAAAGAAGAACTAAGAAAGTGGTACAGCCAGGAAATGAAAACAAACAGAGCTGGCAAAGATGGAAACTGGGAAAATACATTAAAAATGAGGGCAAAGGGCTTGGAGGTGGGGCTAGGTGCTCAACCAGCTGCCTAGAAGGTAAAAGGCTCAGGGTTTGATACTAATACTGAAGTGAAGAAGGAAAGGGAAGAAAAGGAAGAAGAGAAGGAGGAGAAAGAAGGAAGGAGAAGGTAGGGGAGACATTGCATGTTAATTCAGACGGCACGCAATGTACCAGTGAGCTTCTCACAGGAGGATATCAAACAGAAATGATGTGTCTTTGGTTTAAATTAAAATACAGGTCTGCATCATATTCCTACAGTAACTAAACTAGAAATTAAATGCTAGGTGTTTTGGAGGTTGAAATGTGTATTTTTTAACACAGCTACAGTTGGATATGGAGATACACTTTGGTTGTGGAACACTCACATTAGCTGCAATAAACACTGTGTCCAAAACCCAGCAAACAGAAACCAGATAGGGCAAGGCATCCCTGTGCTCAGGTCAGTGTGGTGTGAGAGAGGATGATCAGAAGTTCAAGATCATCCTCCACACACCACTTTGGATCATGGTTAATTTATGTTTCAAAATATAATAAATTAATAATAGAATGTATAACATATACTTAGAATACTAAATTTTTATTTTTAGTGCTTCGAATTTTTTTCTGAAGTTTTGGAGCTTGACTTAGAGCTAGCTATTGTAGACCAGGCTGGCCTCAAACTCACAGAGATCCACCTGCCTCTGTCTCTCGGGTGCTGGGATTAAAGGCATGTGCCATCATTGACAGCTTAATATTGTTTCAATATTTAAGCTCTCAATAATACCTTCTGCTTTCTTTCTTCTGATTGTTGTTTTAAGAACGGTCTTTCTATGGAGTCCTGGAAATCACTATGTAGTCCAAGCCTATCTCAAACCTGCAAAAATATTCTTGTCTCTAACAGAATTAATGGGGTGTACAACTACAGCCAGCCTCCTCCCCCTCTCTCTCCCTCTTTCTCTCTCTGTTATTGTTTATTTGTTGAGACATGTTTCTCTGTGTAGCCCTGGCTGTCCTGAAACTGTAGTATAAGGCCAACATCAAACTCACAGAGATCTGCCTGCCTCTGCCTCTTTAGAACTGGGATTAAAAGCATTAGGTGCCAAACTTCCAGACTTTTTTTGGGGGGAGGAGGGTTAAATTTTTTATCTCTCCGGCTCTCTTTATCTTTCCTTTTCTTTCCCTTATTCTTTTTTTTCTTTTTACAAGGGCTCAATCGACTGAGACTGACCTCTAGATTGGAATTGCTGCTTCTCCCTCCCTGGGGGCAGGTTCTAGGTGACCATCCAACATACTGTGCCTATCTTTAACAATTTTATGACAGCCCTTAATATTAAGGATCTTTACCTGAAAGTTTCACGTTAGTATTTTAAAGAGCCTTTTCACAGAGATGAAGAAACACCTGTGCAGTTCACAAACCACGGGGCAGGACATTTGTTCCAAGAGATGCTTAGGATGCATGCACAAAGTCCCCTGTTCCATCCTCATCAGGCTATAACTCGAGTGTAGTGGCACCATCGTGAAACTCAAGCATTCAGTAAATTTTTCTCCGTCATATATTCTGTTTTATTTTAAAAAGAATATGTTTATTTTTATCTTACTGTGTGTGGATGTTTTGCCTGCATGTTTGTCTGCACACCAACTACTTGCATGTTGCCACTGTAAGACAGAAGAAGGTTTCAGATTCCCTGGAACTGGAATTAAACATGATGGTTAGCGGCCATTTGGGTGCTTGGAACTGAACCCAGATTTTCAGGAAGAATAGCACATGCTCTTAACCAATGATCCAGCATTCTAACCCATGTTTGGTGAGTTTTGTACTTGTTTTCTTCTGTTATTTTGCTTTTTGGCTCTATTGATTTATTTATTTGGCTTGGATTAATTTTGAGGCAGGTTTCTCCAAACAGGGTTTCCCTGTGTAGCAGAACTGGTTGGCCTTGAATTCCCTTTTGAGACCAGGCAGGCATCAAACTCACTGAGATCCACCTGTCTCTGCCTCCCAAGTGCTGGGATTAAAGGTGTGTGCCAGCACCAGCCAGCTGCTTGTTTGGTTTTGAAAATGGTGTCCCAATATGTGACCCAGGCTGGACTCAAACTTGAGATTCTCCCTTTCATGATGCTGAAATCACATTCTATCAACCCCAGGACTCACGGACACAGTGACATTTTCTCCAAAAATATGAAAACAAAATAAATAATTTGATAAGCACTGAAGTCAAGAAAACTGAATATTGGGGAAGTGAAGGAAGCATTCTTTTCAGTGAATATTTTTTTAAGAGGGAAGAGACAAGACCACTCTTTAGATTCTCAATGTCCTAGAGCTTTGTAGACCAGCCTGGTAAATTCTAGGTGGTCTTTTAAATTTCGGCGAAAACAGAATTATAAAGATCAGTCATATTAAAGTCCTATTGCCAATCGGTAAAAAAAAAAAAAAAGCTGGCCAAGCGCTGATGGCAGATCTCTTTAATCCTAGCACTCCAGAAGCAGAGGTAGGCTGTTCTCTGTGAGTTCGAGGCCAGCCTGATCTACAACAGCTAGCTCCAGGATGGGCTCCAAAGCTACAGACAAAACCAGTCTCGAAAAACCAAAAACAATTAAAAATAAAAACCAAGCGGTATTGGTACATGCCTTTAATCTCAGCACTCGGGAGGTAGAGGCAGGCAGTCTTAGGCCAGTCTGGTCTACTGAGATAGTTTAAGCTGTAACATAGAGAAAACCTGTCTCGAAAAACCAAAAAATAAAAGACACGAAAGATATTATAGTTGCGCTATTCCAAAAGCATTTCTCAGTACAGCCTAGGCTACTGGAAAGTCATTCCCACACTCCTGGGCGGAGCCTCTGAATTGGAGGCTCGAGGGGCGGAGCCTAGCGTGACTTTTCACGACTTGACTTTCCGGTCCAACACTGGGGATTTAATTGACGTCCTGGGTGTATCCGGTGTGACGTGAATAAAGCTCAGGACTCCAGGGCCAGTGACTGCAGTTGCTTCGCCAGCACCAGCGCCACTGCCCTCGCTACACCCCGTGTCTCCACAGCCCAACAGAGCCGTCCACATGCTGAACATGCAGCCTAGCAGCTCTGACACCGACCCCGCGCCCTACTGGACACCACAGCCACAAGGACCCAGCCCTGCCAGGCACAGCCGCCTCCACGAGCCCCAGGGGCCACTCAGCCTGGAAGAGTCAACAGCGTCCGCCAGCTATGTATCGACCTCTATGGTGATCCTGGTCGCTGACTGTGCCGTGCAGCTGCAGCTGGATGGCGTCGAACTGCTGCTGGAGCCGGATGCCACCTCGGTCCTGGAAGTGGAGCTCCCTGAAAACACCATCATCCTGGTGCCCGAGGGCCTCCAGGCTTCAGACCATCTTGGACAGCCTGGGTTCTTCTCCGCCAGCCCGCGGGGAGGCGCTGTCCTGGAAATGCCAGTGGGCGACCTGCTAGTCCTCCAGCCGGGATCCTCCTGTCAATTCATTCTAGAAAGTTCCTACCAAGAGGAATCCTACGATGAGGATGAGGACTCTGGCTCCCTGTCACCCTGGATGGATCCTCGAGCCGGTCAGGCAAGTGAGCACTTTTCCTCCACCAACAGGATGTCCAGTCCTTGGCCTCAGGGCCACATCCCAGAATCATATCCTTCAGGGCATTCCCCTAGTACAGAGCCATATTCTCCAAGGTCTGTCTGGGACCAGGACAGTTACCTGCTGGGTCCCTTTCCCAGCTCACCCCTGCTGCCTCTGCCTCCATCTCCTCCTGGAAGTCCCAAAGAGCAGAGCCCTCCATGCTCTCCGAGGTCTCCATGCAAGGCCAGGAAGAGACTGTTTTGTGAATGAACTGCCCTGCACCAATCCTGATGCACCTTAAATGAGAGACTGGCTTCCCAATGCCAACAGGACTGCCTTTGCACAGCCAGCAAAGTTAGAAGGACACTCTTGTTTCTGAATTGGGCAGAATATTGAATTGTTGGTTAGCTAGAATGTCTGGAAGGAAGATCTTCGCCACCATATCACATGCTGGTTGACACTCACCTGTAATCATATGTCCCTAATTTTGGTGTTTGATAAAAACAATATCTCTACTGAGAAATTAGTGACCTTGACATATCTAAAACATTTTTTTCCTTAACACTTACTATGAAATAGTTAATTTCAATTGAAGTGTATTTGCTAGGGACATTCCTATTATATAGAATGCAATTACATCAATTTTATAATAGAATATTAGCTTTTCTGTAAATAGTTGTTAGATAGTCTTTGTCCTGCTGAAGATGTTACTTTATAATGTTTCTGAGCATAAAAAATTGAGATTCTTTTGTTCTGGTTTTGTTTAAGTACTAAGACTTTGTCAAAATGTTGGATTTAATAATTTAATAAAATTGTATTTTAAAATCTTGAGTATTAGAGTAGCTTCACGTATGAGCTATGTTAAGCCCTGAGTCTTTGGCAAACACACAAAAACACAGTTAGAGAACACATGAGACCGGGGTTGGGGCTCAGGAGATTGTAAAACTTAGGTCCTCTTTCAGATATATGAACAGAGATGGTTAGAAGGAGAAATGATGGAACAATTGCATTACGGTGTCACATGGTAACATTTAAGAAGTTTTTGTTTTGAGCATGGTGTTCCATGGTGTCTTTGCCATCAGTCCATGTTGAAAGAACACACGACAACTAAGGAAGGCCCTCTGCACCCCTGCTAGTCCATAGGATTTCCTTCTGATTGTCATTATACTCTGGGATTTTTTTGCTTTGGGAGGTTAGAGAGTGTTTGATTCGCTGATTGGTAGGGTTGGGTTTTTTGAGACAGGGTCTCCCTATATAGTCGTAACTGTCCTGAAACTGTAGGGAGAACAGCCTAGCCTAAACCCACAGAGATCATCTACCTCTGCCTCTCTAGTGTTGAGATAAGAGGCATATACCCACAAGTCTGACTTGTTGGTATATTTTTGTGCTGGTATTTGCTGTATCTTTTTTTGTTTATATTTTGGGTTTTTGAGTAAGGCCTACATTGCCACAGAAAATACTTACAGCTCTCTAACATGAGAGCCACTCTTAAATAGTCAAGACTCCTTGCTAAAGAGAATAGAAAGTAATTGGATAGTGTAGAGTGCAAATCTTTTTCTGTAGTCCAAATGCCTTTTTCTGAATGAGGTCCTCACTCAAATTAACTGAGATTTCTCTACAAAAAACAAGGTGGCCACGTGGATGCATGTGATTGCAATGACTACTCACCCTCAAGGAAGAGGGGAGAGGGCCCAATGATATTGTTAATGAAATATATCCCAAAAACACAGGCTTCGTAAAGCCTGTTATTGATTGTTTGCTTTTCTTTTTCATGACAGGGTTTCTCTGTAGTTTTGGAGCCTGCCTGGAGCTCACTCTGTAGAACAGGCTGTCTTTAAACTTTCAGAGATTGGCCTCTCTGTCTTCTGAGTGGTGGGACTAAATGTGGGTGCCACCACCGCCCAGCTGTGATAGAACTTTTATATTTAAGTGACTGAGTTGGGCATTTAGAAGAGGGTGCTCTGAGAATAAGCTGTCTGAAATTGTGATTAAGGAAGAATTCCAAGTAGGGACAATAACAGAGTCAACAGCTATGAAGTAGGAGGGAGCACTGAATTGATGAGAGGAGCCAAGCCTTAGGCTGAGTCCTGTGAGCACCTCTGACCAGCTACGAGGAAGGCTGAGGCCAAAGAATCATGGGTGCAAGGCCAACCTGTTATACAGAGCAATTTCAAGCCGGGTAGGGTAATTTACGTGGACCTTGTCTCAAAATAAAAAAAAAAAAAAACTTAGAAAGAAGAACTGAGAAGGTGGTACAGCCAGGAAGTGAAAACAAACAGAGCGGCAAAGATGGAAACTGGGAAAATACATTAAAAATGAAGGCAAAGGGCTTGGAGGTTGGGCTCGGTGGTCAACCAGCTGCCTAGAATGCAAAAGGCTCAGGGTTTGATCCTAATACTGAATTGAAAAATGAAAGTGGGAAGAAAATGAAGAAGAGAAGGAGGAGAAAGAAGGAAGGAGAAGGTGGGTGAGACATTGCATGTTGATTCAGAAGGCACGCAATGTACCAGTGAGCTTCTCACAGGAGGTTATCAGACAGAAATGATGTGTCTTTGGTTTAAATTAAAATACAGGTCTGCATCATATTCCTACAGTAACTAAACTAGAAATTAAATGCTAGGTTTTTGGGGGGTTGTAATGTGTATTTTTTTTTAACACTGTTACAGTTAGAGATGGCGATACCCTTTGGCTGTAGAACACTCACATAAGCTGCAATAAACACTGTGTCCAAAACCCAGAACACGGGAAACCTGATAGGGCGGGGCATCCCCGTGCTCCTGTCAGCCTGTTGGGAGAGACGGGAGGGTCAGAAGTTCAAGGTCATCCTCCACACACCACTTTGGATCACGATTAAATTATGTTTCAAAATATAATTAATAATAGAAGGTAGAACATATACTTATAATACTAAATTTTTATTTTTAGTGCTTTGAAATATTTCTGAAGTTTTGGAGCCTGACCTAGAGCTAGCTATTGTAGACCAGGCTGGCCTCAAACTCACAGAGATCCACCTGCCTCTGTCTCTCGGGTGCTAGGATAAAAGGCATGTGCCATCATTGACAGCTTAATATTGTTTCAATATTTAAGCTCTCAATGATACCTTCTGCTTTCTTTCTTCTGATTGTTGTTTTAAGAACGGTCTTTCTATGGAGTCCTGGAAATCACTATGTAGTCCAGGCCTATCTCAAACCTGCAGAAATATTCTTGTCTCTAACAGAATTAATGGGGTGTACAACTACAGCCAGCCTCCTCCCCCTCTCTCTCCCTCTTTCTCTCGCTGTTATTGTTTATTAGTTGAGACATGTTTCTCTGTGTAGCCCTGTCTGTCCTGAAACTGTAGTATAAGGCCAAAATCAAACTCACAGAGATCTGCCTGCCTCTGCCTCTTTAGAACTGGGATTAAAAGCATTAGGTGCCAAACTTCCAGACTTTTTTTTGAGGAGGAGGGTTAAATTTATTTATCTCTCCGGCTCTCTTTATCTTTCCTTTTCTTTCCCTGATCCTTTTTTTCTTTTTACAAGGGCTCATTCGACTGAGACTGACTTCTTGGCTGGAATTGCTGCTTCTCCCTCCCTGGGGGCAGGTTCTAGGTGACCATCCAACACACTGTGCCTATCTTTAACAATTTTATGACATCCCTTAATCTTAAGGAAATCGTTACCTGAGTGTTTCTCGTTAGTATTTTAAAGAGCCTATTCACAGAGATGGAAAAACTCCTGTTCGGTTCAAAACCATGGGGCAGCAGATGTGTTCGAAGATATGCTTAGGATGCATGCACAAAGTCCTAGGTTCGATCCACATCTGGCTATACCTTGAGTGTAGTGGTACCTTCATGAAACTCAAGCATTCAGTAAATTTTTCTACCTCATATATTCTTTCAGTTTTTTATTTAAAAAAGAATAGGGCTGGAGAGATGGATCAGTGGTTTAGACCATTGGCTACTCTTCCAGAGAACCCGAGTTCAATTCCCAGCACCCACAAGGTAGCACACGACTCTCTGTAAAAACCAGTTCCAGGGAATCCAACACTCTCACACCGACAAAAGTATACATAAAAAATAATAAATAAATTATAATTTAAAAAGATTATATCTATTTTTTTGAGTGTTTGTGGATGTTTTCCCTGCATGTTATTCTGAATACCATCTACTTGCAGTTTGCCAGTGTAGTTCAGAGGAGGTATCAGAACCCTGGAATTGGAATGAAACATGTCTGTTAGCGGCCATTTGGGTGCTTGGAACTGAACCCAGATTTTCAGGAAGAATAGCACATGCTCTTAACCACTGAGCCAGCATTCTAACCCATGCTTGGTGGGTTTTGTTCTTGTTTTCTTTTGTTTTTTTGCTTTTTGGCTTTATTGATTTATCTTTTGTGCTTGGATTGATTTTG